ATCATCATTCCTATGGTGTACATGCAAACCCTAAAGCTTTGGATCTAGTTTGTCTAATAAACATGCAATAATCATCCAAAGCCATAAACCCTAGATCTAGCATGTGATAATCAAATAACATATGAATTAGGGTTTAGATCTTACCTTGATTGTTATGTAGCAATAACAATCTCAATTCCTTCTTGTAATTGGATTCTGAAAGCTTAGTGTCACAAGTGTCACACCTCTAATGGAGTCACAAACACCATAAGCAATAAGGATGAAGAAGGAGGAGAGAGAAGACACCAAAAACGTCTAGAAACCCTAAGGAATCAGTTTTCCCACGTTTTGGTGCCCTAGGGGTCCTTAAATATGTGAGGCTATTAGGGTTTTGAACTAGTAAACCCTAATCTGACTACTTAGGCCCTAAGCAGCCCATGGAATCCTCCTTTAGAGGCCTTGGACAAATTCTAATGGGTTTCCCCATAGATTTCGTCCACTCCATCCTCTATGGAGTCCATTAGCCCAATATCCAACTATCACACAATTGACAGTTCTAGTCCCCTTTATTTAATTAATGTCTTTTAGCCACAAAATTAATTCTGATTAATTCTTGACTAATATTAATTAAATAATATGATTTCTCTCTTAATATATTATTCATATAATATATTAATAAATCATAATTATTCTCTTTTTCCGTAAATCATCCTATCAAGTTGCTTTGGTGAAGGCAACCCAAAAGGACCATGCTCGCAATCGGGTCAAGTACATACCAAAATAGTTATGGGCTTAGACACTAATCCAACAGTCTCCCACTTGGATAAGTCTAATAACTATTCTACATATGACTTCAGATCCTGATCAACAATCGTAGCTTTCAAAAGCCGCTGTCAACTCTGATCTTATCATATACGCGTCCTTTAGATAAGGGATCATATATTCCTCCATTCTAGATATCGTATAGACATGGGACATGGATTGAAATCATTCTCTCAGTCTATGTGTTGTTTCCCAATTTCCGATCTACGACGACTGACTAATTGAACAAATCAAATCAGTCCTAGCCCGGCCGAGCACTTTCCTTTGTCATCACTAAATCATCGAGGGGACCATAGATATCACTTTTATCCCACTTTGGGTAAAAGGAACGGATAAACTTTGACTCAATGCTCGCTTGTACTCACTCACCGAATTGCACACAACAATACATTTTATAACACCAAGTTACTGGTGCGTTTACATATTATCAATGTGTAACTGATTCGCAAGATACAACTCACACATCTCGGTTTCAAGAATATAAGATATTATCGTCTCACCAATCACTCGTGATAAAATCCATGAAGCGATCCAAGTGAGCGTGGGTTTAATCCAATGCTCAAATCATATTCGTAAGCACTCATGAACGTTGCAGCAAACCTTTGCTATGTCTAATACACTTTAGACAATCTACAACCAATTCATGACAATCTTCTTTCATACCTACTCCCAAAGTATGAGCGACTGTGGAACGTTCGAATAATCTTATTATTCAGGAAGTCAAAACATGCATAGTGAAACACAAGAATAATACTAATCTTATATGGCCCCAAACTTTTGAGTATAAATAAAACACTTTTATTTAATCACCATATTGATTACTCATTATTTGTTGTTTCGGGTAATCAACTTCTTACTTCAATTATAACGACAATTGTCTCATGCTCTTAGCATGCACACTATGTTTACCTCTGGCCCTTACTTTGTGAAATTGAATAACATTTTCAATCACACTCATTTCATAATTCTCAATCCTTACCACAAGTGTAAGAATACCAAATTCTTGCCACTTATAGAATATGTTAGATTCTAACACTTTATGCAACGGTCCTTTCGTAATGTCACGGCACAAAAGTCACCAAGACTCGGCCAATGAAATTACAAAATTCTCTATTGGAGATTGTTACAAGACAATTCCATAGACATGAAGTCTCACATTCAAAGTACATTCCTTTGAACATCCTTATTGCATAAAAGTTTTTCTAGACATACAGATTCTTAACGTCCAACTCCCATTATTGAAACATTTCTATATTTTCCATATGACAACTCATTTTAAATAGAATCTTATGTATTCATAATAATGTCAATATGGTCCATCCATTACTATACTTCCAACTGTTCACAAGTGACCAATCCTTGGCGAACCTTAGATTATCCTTGACAGTTGTTTAACTAATTCAGTCAAATCCGATTCTAGTCCTCTTTCCCTCTTAATGCCTAGGCATTTGGAAAATTTTAGAATGGTCCAATATTACAACATATGCAATCGATCCTATACCCGAAGTGTATGGGATACGATTCATAATGAGAAACGTGATGCTTTACCAGTTTCTTGCTATAATATTATCATAATATTTCTATTTGACGTGTTCTCAAAATTCGAACTATGAAGAGGGATGCCGTAATCATAATCGAACTTTGAGAATGCAATTAATAAATATATCCTTGACTAAATTCAATTAAAATTTCTCGATCTAAGCTTTTAGATTGGCAACGAAGTATAACATTCTCTCCCTTAATTATAGCAAAACAACTTTTCAACCATTGCAACTTTGCAAAGTGAAACCTTTTGTTTTTCTATAATTAATATTGCCAACTTGCAATACTTAAAATAATAATAATCATGCTCCCACTAACATGATGATTATATCCATTTCAGCATAACATTTATACTACCACTAGCTTTGACATGTATTCAGAAAACAGTTGGACTTTTAAAAGACAATACTAATTGACTTCCAAAGTTCATATTTCCAATACGATGTGCTTCGATAAGCCTTTATCTAAGCTTCTCAAATTCACACACCTTTCCTTAGATAGCTCACATGTGTGTCTAAAATAATTCGGAACTTATATTACTAAGTCCTAAATGTTCAGACTGACTGTCAAGTCTCACAATTCGAACTATGAAGAGGGATGTCGTAATCATAATCGAATTTGAGAGTGCAATTTACATAATCGCTATCTCCTTAAAATCTCTCTTAGTGAAAGCGTTTCGTCACAATCATTTTCATGAAGGAGAGAAACCTTATGACACTTAGATTTTATGGTGCATGTGTTCCTATCCATGCAAATTTGTCATAAGCATAATCGTAAGATAATGTTTGTGACAAATTTAAACTCTTATGGACAGAACTTGTTCATTCTTAATTTCTTACCATCAAGGGTCCCACCATTGTTTCCAAGTTATTTAGCAGCTCACCTACGCCAGTCAATGTACTTTCATTGATCAAGGTGTTTGCCCTTATGCATTCAATCGAGAACTCGTAGAACTCATATGCATAATCACTCAACTGGATTGGCACAGGAATAAAATTTTGTCAACACGATAGATTACAATCCTCAAGTCGTGTGCTAGTGTTTAATAGGTTTACTTCTTGATTTGTTCTTGAAACTTTTCAAGATCTTTAGACTCCCACTGACCTCTTGACATATAAGATTTTCTTATCAAGAAACATTTCTTGACAAAACAAATATTCAAGAGTCAGTATGTGTCTATGTCAAGACAAAACTACGTGCAATTTGGTTCTAGTTGGTCTTTGTCTTATTCAAGACATCACAACTTACCAAAATGTGCTAGTGTAAGAACATTCCTACTTAAGATTATGTCCCTCAATTCACAATCTTGGAGTATGACTCTAAGACTTGATATATTGGAACGAAGTACGATACATCTTATTGACTTAACCATTTCTACAATTCACCATTCCTCTTCTTAGCCAAAACTAGTGCACTAAGGTATCCTTAGAGGATGAATTGTAATATGGTTCCTACAATAACCAAGACGATCATAAAATATGATACAAAAGTACTCTCCCTTCTTCTTAGATTGGAGAAACTTTTATCTTTCTGCCTAATTGATTCTTCTTATTCGTTCTGCCATTCATTGAAACTTTTCAATGATTCAGAATTACACTTAATCTTGTAAGCATAATCACGTTTACTAGACTTTTAGTAAATCATGACAAATAAACTTATCGTTCTTTGTAGTAGACTTGACCAGTGCACAACATTGTGTACCAGATCTCCCAGTCCTTCACTTGACTCACATACTTATGTGAACAAGGAATTACTCTCAATTTCCCAAATGCGAAGGTTCTCATTCATCACACAATACCAGTTGCATGATTCCAAGTTTTAGTCCAATTGAAATTGGGTGATGAGAAACTTTCCTCATTTGGTAAATTTCTTACCACTACTAGAAAAACAGCCTTTTACGACGCGCAAGTAATGACACACACTGATAGAGGACGCGCATTTGTGCTTGCCCTAAAAATTAATGTCAGTTTTCCAAAATTTGAAGGATAGAGGGCATGCATTTTTGCGCGCCCTAAAATTAGTGTCCAACAAAAAAAATTAAAAACACGGAGGGCACCTATCATAAAAAGCGTGTCGTGTAAATGTGTAGTTTTATATTTTTTAGAAAGGCGCGTTCTCCGTTGTTTTAATAATCTATGGTGGGAAATGAAATCCCAAAAAATTAAAGAGCCCTTCTCCTTCTAAAATCCTCAAAAAAAAACCCTAATAATCCTTTTGAAGCAGCCCTCTCTCTCTCTCTCTCTCTCTCTGGAAAACCCTAATCACCCTTCTGGTTTTCTGAACCAGGTTCATCCGCTCATGCCTCCGCTCCTATCGGACCACCACAGTCCCCCACCGGATCGCTAAAACAATAGCCACCGATGCACCATTTCACTACCTTTCACTCTCTAAATGTGCGACTACTCAATGTAATGGCCTTCTAGGGTTCGTTATCCCGCTCCCTTAATGTCTGCGATCGACAATGGAGATGATGGCCACCAATACTACTCCATTACTCACATGTCGATCTGTCTCCATACACATACCATCACAACGCACAATCGTTTCAAAATACCCTAGCTAAACAACAAAATACCATTCCTCTATTCTCATTCCATGCTTGTGAACAACAAAAGGCTGAAGCAACGAAAACCTTGTAACTTTGTCTTAATTTTTTCATGGTGGTTGACAAGGTTTTCCTTGTGTATCAGTTATCACTATCGTCGCCGTCATCTGACCTTCACTTGGTTCTAACGAAAAGGAAAAAATCGAGGTTTGTGTATTTGTAAACCCGATATAGAGATTTTTTGGTCCGATTTTTAGGGATTACCATATCACTCATCTCTCCTCTACGCCACCGTCGCCGACCTACGCTCCGCCCGTCAACGATGCCCATCTGATCCTGCTCCTTCTTGGTTCAGTCCCAAAAGGTACATTCTTTATGTTTCTTCTCTGTTCGTATTTTCACTTCTTGATCAACTGAGAAGAATACAAATCAAAGTAAATTTATTGAACACTGGGAATGTTTCTTCTATGTTTCTTCTCTGTTCGTATTTTCACTTTTTTTGATATTTTACTTTTGTATAAACCTAATATTCTTTTGATTTCTGAAATATATTGATTTGTGCAGGGGAAACGAGGCTTATAAGAGTGGAGATTTATCAGAAGCCGAAGTATGTTATTCAAAGGGTATTAGTTCAATACAACATACAGAGACACCTGGAGATTTATCAGAAGCCGAAGTATGGCTCTTGGAAGAATGAGGGAAGGTCTAAACGACTGTAGAATGGCTTCTGCATTAGATCCCAATTTCAGGAAGGTCAACTTAAGATCTGCAAAGTAAGATTTCTACTGTCAGTTACTTATGAGATAGGAAAAATCATAATCTAATTATCTTTTTACATCCTGTTTTCAACCTAAAGAAAATTCAATTTAAAGATCCAACAAGACTGAAAAATAACGAATTGAATCACTCATTTTCCATTTCTATACAGACTTGTCTTTTTCAAATTTGATTTTTTCATCTGTTTATATTCAATTTGATTATCGTTTCTGGGTTTTGTTCTATTCGAAACTTACATCTAATTATCGATTCAGTTTTGGTTGGTTTTCACCCACATAACTTTCGTCTTTCAATAACATTTGAAGAACTTAACAGATATACAATTTTAAACAGTATCTAACCATTAATCACCCAATTCCTGATTTGAAATCTAATCCTAATCTTTCTGCAGTCTTGTATATATTTTGAATTCAAACTAACTATCACATCTTAGATTATTATCCTCACAGAATGGAATCCTTACCAGAAGCTATAGTCCAATACATTTTATTAAACATGAACAATGCTAAAGATGTGGCATCTTGTAACTGTGTCTCCAGAAAGTTTAAAGACTCCATGCCTTACATTAAAAGCCTTTACTTCCCTCGTAGCATCTTTGACAACTTAAAAGACGGTCATACCCCTGACTGCATTATCTTAGAGATTGTCTCATCAAATTTTCAACTTGAAGAGCTTGTAGTTTACTGCCCATTCACCAGCACAGGGCTGACCTCATGGCTCTCACTTGTGGGACCCACCCTAAAGAATCTTGAACTCCGTCTGGATAATCTTGCTGATCAAAACACAGACAGTATGTCTAAACTTGAATGCATTCAATTTGCTAAAAATCTGGAGTCATTAAGACTTTGGGGTGTACTAATGGTTCGTGCTCCAAAATGGGATGTGTTTCAAAAAATGAAGAATCTTGAAATTGTTGGAGCAAAATTGGAGGATTCAGCTTTGACTGAGGCTTTGACAGCAACTCCTAATTTGAAAAATCTTGTGCTTCTTGGTTGTGAGGGTTTTAGGACTGTTTGGATTGAGCTTCTTCAACTTGAGCACTGTAAACTTGATTTTTATGGATCAGGTAGCTGCTCACTTACACTTTCAGCTCCAAAGATTGAATATCTTGAGGTTCAAGGGTGTAGTTGGATTAGAGTTCGTGACACCAATTGCTTGAAGAATCTCCCCATTTCAAACAATGCGGGTAATTTTAAGATCATCTTTAAGCCTTTTTCTTGTTACCTTATAATTTCAAGATCATATTTTTTATGACAATATCAAAATTTGTGTTTGTGGGTGTTATTTATTGGTTGCGGGGAGGGTTTATATGGTGGATTTTGGTAATAAGCTCATGGAACTTGAATCTTTATGCATAAGAGGTGTTCAATGGTGTTGGGATGCAATAAACAAAATTCTTCAACTTGCAAGTGAAGTAAAACATCTGTATATGAAAGTTGAATTCACTGGAGATTTCGAAGCTCTTCTCCCCTTTCCAGAAATTGACTTTGTTGACTTTTTCAAAAGTCATCCAAAGCTCAAAACATTCGACATCCATGGTGCAATGTTTGCTGCTCTATGCCAAAAGAACAGTCTAAAGAATGTGAGTTTCTTGAACAGAAAACGCATGAGTCAGCAACCAATGCATTGGGAACTATCACCGATGCTTTGTCAATAATCTCCTATTCAGAGAAACTACTGATTTGCCCCTACTTATTACAGAGCTGGGGAAGCATAAAGAGGTGGTTCAACTGTGTGAGCAAACCCTAGATACATCGGGTACTCAAAATTCAACCAATTTTTTCACTACTTTCCCTTTACTTTTGAGTTTTAACCGATTATATGATATTTATAAATCAGGGAGGGGAACTTCAGTGGTGAAGATATTGTTAGGGTTACCACCATGAACAAGCATGGGAAGCATGATTTGGATATTCCAGTCATTGTCAACCCAAGAAATGACTCTCCATTTATTAATGTCCCTGAGTTCATCATGTTGGAGAATGTGACAAAAGATGAAGGTTTCTTGATCTTTGATAGACAACGAAATAATTTTAACTTCTCTATTGGGGATCCAGATCATATTCACTTTCCAGGTATATTACAGTTTACAAGGAATAACAACGTATTTTTATGTATTTGCTTATTGTAAAAACATTTTACTTTTATTTCTTTCTATTACATTTTACAACACTGCACTTTTCATTTATTTTTTCTTATTAAGAGATTGTACTTTGATAAATCTACCAGGTTATAGCCATTTTTTTTCTTATTGCAGGAAATAAGAGTCACTTCCGTGTGATGTTTTCTGTGGAAGTTAGTTCTGGATATTTCTATGCAAACCTGCCAGTTGAGCTTACACGTTGGTGGAGTTGTTATGGAGTTCTTTCAGGCTCTCATCCAGAAACAACATTTAATTGCATGGTTTTGGGTGTTATTACTAGTTTGTGTTATTCTAGTAGTGATCACAATTCTTAGTTTATACTCTCAGCACCAAATCTATCGTCTTTCACTTACTATGGTATGGCTTGCTTTTCATTATCAGCCACAGAAAAGAAAAACAAAAAATTGTAGTTATACTTGAACACTTTGATCAAGTTGTTGGTGACTGTTTTATGGATTGTGTCAACTGTCTAATTGGTTTTGCCAACAATAAAACTTGTAGAGGTTTGTTTGTTGGTTTTTTTTATTTAATATAATCATCCACTAACTAAAAATATTGTTTAGGATATGGTGCCAGGTGGCAGCTTGAAACCGATTGATGATAATGCAGATGCAACTAGTGATATAACAGAGCATTATTGGTTCCCAATGTAGGCTGGATTGTCTGATTTGATATCTAACCCGAGACCTGAAGTTAGTAACTATGCACTAGAGGTGTTGTTTGAGTTGTTATGCAACTTTTTCAATACTTTTTACAAGGTATGTAGAAAGCTATGTTTTTTTATTTACTTTAATTTTAGGGTGACGATTTAGTTGATCAGTAGGTGAAGTTGAAGGTAGACATGAGGAACTGCTAACAGAAGCACAGTTGGCAGTTGCAGCTGAAGAAAAGTCCCTACTAAAGTTGTTTGTGCAGAGCATCTGGAAATGCGAAAGGAGATACTGACTCTTCTAAATCTTCAGAAACTGGTATAGTTGACTCATACATATATCCTTTTGTTTTTCTTCCACTGGTTAACATTGTTGAATATATATACATGTAAGAATTGTGATGTGCTTCAAAAAAATCAATAACCAAATATATGACACAAACATTAGAGTTAAAAAAATGGTACAACTGTACATGACATTCATTAAGAACTACAATGCAATCAACTTTGTTGATATAAGTTCAGACAATTATTCACCAGAGGATAACCAAGGCCTAGACTATGAAACTGTATTTTAGTGGAGGGGCAAATTAGGTATTTTGCTTAATACATTTTGTTATGAGAGAATCTTATTTGTATGATACACATTTTGTTATATTCTTTGAAAATTTTGCTAGATTGGTAGGTTTAAAAGTAGAATGTCCTAATAAGAATTAATTTTAAAAGTAGAATGAAAATGATAAGTGATTTTTTGTTGTGTTTACAGGGTTGATGAAAGCGAATAGCTCTGGAGTTAGATGAGGAAAAGAAAGCTCAAGCTGAAAGAGATAAGATGCTGCAAATGCAAGTGTTGCATTCTTCATTTCAATTGTTAGTATGAAACACAGAGTAGATTAGATGAATGCAAATTTATATATTGTAAGAAATAGAATTGTATGACATTAAATTTTATGCAATGGATTGTATTTTTGTATATGGTATTTTATTTATATTATGAGACATTAAATGCAAATTTAATTTAAAAATTAATAAATATATAAATATATTTTTTTAAACATTTAAATTTACGATACGCAAAAATGTATGTCATCTTCATTTATGACATGGCCTTTCTTGACAGGGGTTTTAATGATACGCATTGCGTGTCATAAATGTGTGTCGTAAATGCACGTCGTCTATAGACGACGCGCAAAAGCGTGTCGTCTCTCGTTATGACAGGGTCTTTCTTGACGCGCATTTGCGCGTCGTCTGAGCGTTTTACGACACGCATGCGCGTCGTAAAAGGTTGTTTTTCTAGTAGTGGACATTACCACAAATAACGTAACTAAGAGTCAAATCCATTCACAATATTGCTAATAATAGAACCATTCAAACACCAATTTTTCATAAAATCCATCGCAAGAAAACATAAATAAGATAAATCAAAATTTATTTTATTGCAGAAAAATATTGTCCTTACAACGCGATTACAAATGAAAACTATGTAAATATTATTTAGCAATCTATCCTAACTCTAAAGTAGTAGCTCAAACAATTCGATCTTTGAATCAAGCGATCAAGATCCATTTCTTCATGACCAGATTTAGCTCATTTCTTTCCTTTTAAGCTTCCTTTTTTTTCGATTCTACAAAACAGCAAATGTAATCTTATTACATCATGTATTAAGAATCCAAAAAGAACTTAATAAAGTTAGATAGTGGATTTTACCTGATGCAGAGTCATACATCTTGACTCTCTCATCTCTTAGATCTCTCAGGTAGTCAGGGCAACTTCGTAACCAATGCCCCTTCTTTTGGCAGTAGAAACATATGGACTCTCTGGAATGGCACATGGGACTATCACAGACTCAGCCTTTCTCTTGCGTAGAGAAAACTTTTCTGGACTTCCAATGTTGCCATTGCCCATAGAAGGTTGGGATATTGATTTACCAGACAAATTTGCTCGACCAGTGCGCCAAATCATCGCTGATTCAGCAGCAATAAGTAAATAAGTCAAATCAATAAGGGTCATGTCGTGGTCCATCATATAGTACTCTCTAACGAACTTACCATATGATTCGGGAAGTGAATGAAGAACCAAGTCAACAACCAACTTCCTTGAGACATCGACACCTAACATTCCCAAACTATCAATATTTAACCTTTTATCCAAGACATGAGCACATATAGACTTTCTATTTTCGTGTCTTTTGCCAATAGGGCTTGAGTGACCTTGAACTTTTCAAGTCTTCAAACATGTGGGTCAGGGAGAATTATTGGAGGAGGTTGGAGGAAATGAATCATGATTTCCATTTCCACAATACAATTGTGGAACATCATCTTCACGTGAAAACTTTTTCCAACAGATTTAGGAAGACCATAGTTGTCAGACTTTGACATCTATGAAACGGGAGAAAATTCAAGTTTAGTTGATTGAGTCCTTAATAAAACACCCGAATGAGATATTAAGGCTAGGACCCAACACAATATCCTACAAATTGGAAGAGGGATGCCGTAATCCAACTCGCAGAACATTTAAAGGTAGGTAAATGACGATTTACCAATTTCCACCATGAAAAACGAAAAGAAGGTTAAGTTTTAAATGAATTGAAACTCCAAGATCTTTTGATATTCATTGAACTTTTAAATGTCATGTTTAATCTCGATTATGCCCTTCATTTGTGACTGGGATGCCGAGGATCACAAATAAGGTGTGAATAACCCTGCGAATTTATGTGGTGCCCTCAAGGTTACAGTTACCTAATCGACGTGCCGGTTAACCACACACACTCCATCGATCTATGACAAACATCGAGTCACCCTTCGCTACCAATGCCAAACCCAACTTGGTGTGCCGGTTAACCACACACGCTCCACTAACTGTCTCGACAAGGGTACAAAGTGTAATTCCATGGAATTGCATCGATTTCACTTTTTCCTAAAGTAACTAAGATTTGGGAATTTAGTAAAACATTTAGTTACTTTAACATTGATTATACTCTTAATGAGGAGAGGGTTTGCCCTATCCTACCCGTTCGGCTAACGACCCTCCACCAATCAAGGAAGCGGTGGGTGAGAGTGGACACCCATTAAACGGCCATTTTATAGGCCATAAGCTTATACCCCCCTTATAGATCGGCTTCGTGAATGAGGCCTACTAACGGTAAGACTAGCAGTTTAAGTTATACATATATATAATATTAGACTTTTAATGTTATATATAGTATAAGGGTGTATTTTATACTTTTAAAATACTAGGTGGGTTAATTTAATAAATTATACCTTTTAATTTAATTAAACATAAACCATGTCATTATGGATTTATTAACTCTCTTTTAATTATACTTTTAATTAAATTAATAAAACCATGAGGATGTAATTTGAACTTTTTCAAAACTAGGGTTTTAGAATTTAAAATTTCAAAAGTCAAACTTTTAATCAAAAAATTTAAATTCCAAAACTTGAGGGCAAGTTTTGAAACATTTCAAAACATTTGGGTTTAGAATTTAAATATTTCAAAAATTAAACTTTTAATCAAAATTTAAATTCCAAAACTTGAGGGCAAGTATTTGAAACTTTTCAAAACATTATTAAGAACATTCTAGATCAACTTACAAATAATAACAATTAAACAATTAATTGGTGATTATCTAAATATGATCTAATTCAATTTCTTGCAAGATAATCTATCAAATAATTCAAATAAATAAAGTTTATCACATAAGGCAATGATTATCTAGTTAATTTGACAATTATCTTCTATTCTAGCAAGGATAATCAATATCAAACATAAAAAATCGAATTTTAAGAGTTAAAAACGTTTTTGGTAACTTATCCAAGCCAAATCAGCAAAAAATCCTGAAGATACCTCTGTCTGACCCTTGGACTCGCCGAGTCAGGGACTGGACTCGCCGAGTCGGCCAGACTCGCCGAGTTCATCCACCGACTCGCCGAGTCAGTTAGGCAACTAGCAAGAAAAACGATTTTCAGCCAAAGAATGATCAAATATACAACAAATTCATCAACAAACAGCCCTAGGCTCTGATACCACTGATGGGTTATGAGCACTACATCATTCCTATGGTGTATATGCAAACCCTAAAGCTTTGGATCTAGTTTTTCTAATGAACATGCAATAATCATCCAAGGCCATAAACCCTAAATCTAGCATGTGATAATCAAATAACATATGAATTAGGGTTTAGATCTTACCTTGATTGTTATGTAGCAATAACAATCTCAATTCCTTTTTGTAGTTGGATTCTGAAAGCTTAGTGTCACAAATGTCACACCTCTAATGGAGTCACAAACACCATAAGCAATAAGGATGAAGAAGGAGGAGAGAGAAGACACCAAAAACGTCTAGAAACCCTAAGGAATCAGTTTTCCCACGTTTTGGTGCCCTAGGGGTCCTTAAATATGTGAGGCTATTAGGGTTTTGAACTAGTAAACCCTAATCTGACTGCTTAGGCCCTAAGCAGCCCATGGAATCCTCCTTTAGAGGCCTTGGACGAATTCTAATGGGTTTCCCCATAGATTTCGTCCACTCCATCCTCTATGGAGTCCATTAGTCTAATATCCAACTATCACACAATTGACAGTTCTAGTCCCCTTTATTTAATTAATGTCTTTTAGCCACAAAATTAATTCTGATTAATTCTTGACTAATATTAATTAAATAATATGATTTCTCTCTTAATATATTATTCATATAATATATTAATAAATCAGAATTATTCTCTTTTTCCATAAATCATCCTATCAAGTTGCTTTGGTGAAGGCAACCCAAAAGGACCATGCTCGCAATCGGGTCAAGTACATACCAAAATAGTTATGGGCTTAGACACTAATCCAACAGTTTCATCCTTGGAACCAATCATTTATTTAAAAGTATACAACAATAATTGAGACTTCATTGTAGGATCTACCAAGATCGCAAAGTAAACATAATCACTCATCTTTGCATAGTTGCCCCAATATTTGTCATATTTGTCCTTCATGTCGGTTATCAAATGAACAAAGTTGA